AGATAATCAACAATAGTATATTATATACCAAGGGGCTGCTGAAGCTGGAGAGTGTTGCCCTAAATGTAGTTTAGGGCACCCGAGGGTTTAGGACGCACTTTAGTCCTGTGGTATATTTGCTATTTTTTGTACTCCTGTAATCAGTTACAGCAATTTCAATATTAAAGGTCAAATTTACAAAGATTTGTAAAATCAATTAATATACCTTATCAATTTATCATGTCAAATTGTGACCGTAAATAAATTTCAGTTTACAATAAATATTATTCTCGTTTAAAACTACGACATAGAAATGATCTGTTAACACTCTGCAGAACAAGCTATGTATGAGAAATTTACTGCTTCCTAAATTCAAAAAGATATATGGAAAACTGTGTAATGACTTAATGAGTATAAAATATGTATAGGTAGGTACTTACCGTGTGACCTATTTTGGTTAAGACTGCAGTGTCTCCGGTCGGCCGTTTGTCATTTTTTAACTTTTAATACCACAAACAGAATCAATCTAGCTACGCTTGTTTTTGAGATACAAGGTGAAAACGAAAAGTTGACTTTTTGGGACGTTATCATATCTTACTCCCCTTGTAAGATAGAAAAAAGGTAAAAACTGTCTATTTTAGATATTTTTACGTAGAATCCAGTAAAAAAATTTTGCCACACCGTTTCTGACATTTGACAAGTTGGTATTTTGCAACACTCTGTATATCTTAACGTCAATTTTTTGCATTCTTTACACTTTATTTTATACCGGAAGAGTCTACTTGATTCCCATCGACGTATCGGTTGGAAGACGTCACACTAATAATACCTAACTCCTAATTTAAAAAAAAAAGCGGTTGTCGTTTTCTTTACTAAAATCTGGCAAACTATTCACGCGTCATTCACAAGACACTCAATAAGTTAAAAATTCAAGAGAAAATACTACAATTTGTATATTTAGAAAAATATCATTGGTCAAAGCTCAGAACGTTTATTCTGTGTTCGAAAAAACGTGATTTGTTAGCTATAGACTCCGTTGTAAATCAATAATATTTATTAGATTATTACTAGTTGTAAATTTCAACATGCTACCTCGTTGACCAAATCTCAACAATTACATATCTACACACATCGGTAAATTCCACATTTTCAACACTCATTAATTTACCGCCGAAAAAGGAAAAAGTGGCTAAAGAATTTCAGCGGCATTTAAAATTTGTCAATGGAAGATTAATATCTACCATGTTTATTGTTGAGTAAAATTTATATGGAAATTAAGGACTATTTGAAAAATGTTGTAAGTGTTACCCACAAAAGTGGGTCCTGTTCATCGGTGTAAGCTATCGTTGTATCGGCTTCGGTCGTTTGATGAATCTCTTGTTTTGAAATAAGTAAATGCATGATACAGATTTACAGAGTCACAGTATGTTTAAGTTTTCGTACCTCACAAATGACCAGAAAATGACCGTTTTGTTAATTTCAAACAAAGACTGTCGAATAAGAAGCCTCAGACGGTAAAACGTCTGCTGTGAATCCTTACACAGTGTTTGGCTTTTTCTGTTCAATTAAGGCAAACCGAGACTCTTTTACAACTATGGTGTGACGCTTGTCCCAGAATCCCAGTGAATCGAAGAAGATTGTGCCAAAGAAGAAGCGTGTACTATAACTATTAGTTCTAGTGGTTGTGAAAACAGCACAGCTCTTGTGACGGCTTCCACTGGTCACAAATTACTGTAAATTTAATTACGTGATTTATTTAAATGTTTATACAAAATTAATTATTGATATTCACAGGAACTAACACTATTAACAATACTACATGTACGAATATAACGGTCCTTAAAATACATTGATTTATAGCGATTCAATATTTATGACTCAGTCACTTTTATAAATACGATCGCGAAAGTTATTATTTGACATCAATCTTAAGACTGAGACTAAACACAATTCAATTTGGTTATATAGCAAACAATAAACCTCAAAAAATATTGTAGACTTCATAACTCACAAAAAGAATGGGTCACGGATAGGATATTATTTAATAACTTAAAAAAAAATAGGGCTTTGAGCTAATGAAGAAAAAAACACACGGGAATGGGTTGAGATATTTGCTAGTGAATGTTTTTCACTTTCTGCTACGTCTTTTGACGTTGACCGGATTACAACAGGAACTATTGAGCTTATTTTTTTAATGATGTGTTCTTGAACTCAGCAATTGAGGCCCAAAAATAGGCTTTCAGCCTCAAAAATTAACAAACCTCAGAAAACGGACAAAGATCGAATGCTGACGACCATAAACTTTTCACCAAAACAAAAATCTCCCAAAAATATCGTTTCGCACGACAAAAAATCCTCGCCAGGTCTTCGCTCCAAAAAAGTTTTGAAATCTTGTTTGCACCCCGCCTTATACGTGTTTTATGGCACGAAGCAATATTTTGTGGGGTGTAACCAACATTTGAAGGAAAATGTACCAATACCCTTTCCCTTGCTGAATTTTTCTAAAAATGACGTCTTTTTCTGTTAATTATTAGGCTATAAGCTAATTAATGGACAAAAAAAATGATAATTTTAAAGTCTAGTACTTACTTACCTATAGTAAGCTGTAAGTACATATTTCTAGTGCAATATGCGCAAGATGTACACTTGAACCTCGGTAAAGAACAAAATTCCAAAAGGTGGTCCCTTCTCCCCCAATTAAATACTTTTATATCGCTTTTGAATTCATGTTTGAGCATTGAATAAAATTATTGAATATAAAGTGCATATTCAATGGTTTGAGGCTTTTTAAAAGCAATTTACATTATTCATCGCAGATGGAAATAATTTAAAGATACTGTCGCATTTTCATATTGTACCTGCTGACCGTTATTCTACTCTCTTTACAACGGCTGTTATTTAGGAAAAACGATTTTATTGGACCTCATTAAACAACTTTTTTTCTGAAACTACCTACTTGAGAAAGGGTCTAGGAAAGTTTACCGAAAACAGTTTACCGAAAACAGTTAGCCGAAAACAGTTTACCGAAAAACAATTCACCGAAATGGCAATATACCGAAAGAACAATACGTCGAATTTCATTTTACCGAAAAGCAGTTTTACCGAATCACACTTTACCGAAAGGAGAGTTTACCGAAAATTTCTCCCGTTTTGAAAAAAACAAGAACAAGTCAAAAAACAAAAGAAAAAACGAAAAAGGAATTCATTTCCGGAATAAAAAGACAACAAAATTTAAAAAACAAAAAAAAAACAAAAAATGACAAAGGAATTCGTTTCTGACTTTCTAAACACGCCAGTACTTTGAGCTGCAAGTCCTAAGCCTTGGTAAAGTGTGAAAGAAAAGTTGTTAGCAACATAATAGTATTAACTATTGATAGTAAATTAATGTAATAATTGTATCAGCAATGTCATCTTGGACCTTTCCTGTTTAATATAATTGTACATTAACAATATTCCAAACTCCGACGTCTCGTTCAGTCGCAATTCGCGTTTGAAGTTTTGACTGAACCATGAGTAAGATCGTGGCCTTCATTTTTTTGATTTGACCTACATTGCCAATTCACGAACTCTGATCTACAAATTTGATAAAGAATCCACCTGCAAAATTTTATTGTAATCGGACCGTTCGTTTTCGAGATATCATGCTAAAGGACAGGCACGGACGAACAGCTTGCAAAATTATGAACTGGCTAGGACCACCTGAACTGTCAACAGATTGCAAATTGGGCGTAAGATCGTTTGGTTGAGGATGGCGAATTTTACAAAAAAAAACATCTTTTCGGGCGAGCACATTTCCACCTCGATGGTTATGTTAATATTCGGTAAACTTTCCTTTCGGTAAAGTGTGATTCGGTAAAACTGCTTTACGGTCAATTGAAATTCGACGTATTGTTCTTTCGGTATATTGCCATTTCGGTGAATTGTTTTTCGGTAAACTGTTTTCGGGTAACTGTTTTCGGTAAACTGTTTTCGGTAAACTTTCCGGGAGCGCTTTAGAAACAACTACTTTCGTCTCCAAAAAGGATGAAGAAAATGTGATTTTCCTCTCTAGTGAGGAAAGTAAAAAACAATCATTCATGACATTTAAAATTGAAACATATCCATATCTAGATCGCTATGTGTCAAACTTCATTATTGCATACGATAATTTTTTAATTTTGATTGTATTTTCAGAAAAAAAACCGTGAGAAGAAAGTCTTTTCCACTTTCTTCTCTAGTTGTACAAAGTACAAATAATAAGTAGGTATTTTTTAAGTACAGACGATATTTTCATCATTGCAAATAATATGCAGTACCGACAGACTACAAAAGCAGTATTTCATAAGAACATTTGGCTGTTTTATGGCAAAGAAATGACAATATGAAATAAAGGACCTATCTGAAAGCCGTTGAATTTCATTGAATAACTTCAATGCTTCTGTGCATATTTGGTTGCCTGTTTACCTTTGAATATATTACGCGGTATTTACGAAATTCATTTGGCGATGACCGATGACCTACCCCAAAAATACTCCCACATAATCGTTTTATGTATCCTTTATTTCGTCTTTCCCAATATCATATTATCATACTTTTAACTTTATCTAAATTCAATTTTGAAACTGGGCTGTCCAAATGTACAATAATATAACAACCGATTAAAATAAGAGATAGATACAAATTAGGCAAATACGTAACCTACGGACAATAGTTTATTAATAGAAGGGTCAAATATAATCAATATTATCAAAAATATTTACAATAATAGGGTTTGTAGCGCGTCTGCGCCAATAAAGAAAATAGTCAACGTTGCCAAATTTCAACCATCTGACATCTGTTAGAGGTTGAAACTTGAAAGTTGTTTGTTAGTCTGTTTTAACATTTCTTTATCATTTTAATTAATGTTACATACTTGTTTTAAATGTAAGAAAGGTAAGGAACCTCCCTATTTACTTATTAAACGTATTTAAACTGTCATTTTCAAATTGTAGGAGAAAATTTGTTTCTCTTTTCTCTATTGCGTATCTTTTGCTTTGACAAGTACGACCTTGAGTTTCGTTTGGAATGTTTTTGTAATTACGAAATGTCATTTATTATTTATTTATATTGAGAAAGCTAATCAATCGAAGCGTTGTAGTAATACTTTGTAAATAATTTGCTTGTCTGTAAATTTCTGTAACGTTGACAAGGTCAGTGTGGTTAATAAGGGATAAAGAATGGGCTCACAAAAGTTTTTGTTCCTAGATATGGGAAATGATAACTGTGGCTTCCTCTCTGATTGGCCCGTAGCGAAGAAATCGAAGACCGCAGATGCTGAAGTTATAAATGAATATGTACACAACTGGAGCTACTTACCCAGTCTTGTTTTATTTAAAATCTATTCCATGCTCGGCCACAAGGATAGGATTAGTGCGTCGAGCGCGTGCCGTTTCTGGCGACAGAATCTATACCATCCAGTGTAAGTGTTTTCCCTTTCCCTCTTTAAGGTTACTAAATTGTTATATTTCAGCTTTTGGCAGGAGGCTACATTTGTAACAGATGGTAACATAGCACCCAATTACTACCAAAGTTCCATTGTTGCAAGATTAGTTCAAAATGCAACAGTTAAATTTAATTCTCTTTGTCCAGATTGTGTTGTGAAGTTCATCGCACTATTACAGTCGTTAAGTACAAATGATAACTTAAAGTCGTTACTGCTACAGCCCACCTACTGTCATATTGAACATAAAATTTTTAAAGTGTAAGTATTACAAAGGATTACCTAGAGCCAGTTGAAAACCAAACAAACAATTGATTTTGTACCGAAATTATACAGCTCGGATTAATTGTGGTTTGTGAAATATTTTCGAGTCAATAGCAGAAGTGGGTCTAGACCGACGGACGGACAAACCGCCATGATTTGTTATACGTTTTTGTTTAATTGTTTCTTGAAATTTGTTTTTTTTGTAACTGATCAAAATATCATGATATCTAGGAAACTAATGAATTTAGGTATAACATGTGGTTAATAAAAATGCTTAAAATTAAGCGATAATCAAAATAAGTAATAATGTACAGGGTGTTCATGCCCAAATTCATACAGGGTGCTCCAAAAAAGTTCTGAAAGGTATTGTAGCCATTTCAAGAAAATGTAGCTCTCTGTATACTACTATTTTAGTCAGGTTATGTTTTGTTAGCGGAATTTAAGCTAATTTTCAACTCTCCATTCTCCTCGAGACCTTTGGTAATTACGAATTGGTCTAATCCAGCATCTGCAAATTTCTTATCGGCCTGTACATCAAACGTAAAGTGAAATGGTTTTTGGTCCAGTGACTGTACATATTAGGAGAGTGGCGACAACTTTTCACAATCCGCCATATTGGGGCTAAAAAATTATTTGATTGTAAGATCAATATACCTTGTCATGTCAAATTGTGGCTGTATAATAATAAATATCAGTTTCATTTAAAGATTCTCATTCAAAACTACGGTGCAGAAATGATCGTTTACAACTGTGGAGAACAAGGTAACTACTGCCTTTTGAATTCAAAAAGACATAAGGAAAACGGTATAATAAGTATAAAATATGGTACAAGAACCAAAATGTCTGTATAAAGGTAACCATTAATAACTAAATTGTGTTTAACATTTCCTATCACTTTGTCAGGCGTCGTGTTCGGAAGAAAAAGTGACATTTTAGTCCCTTAAATGGAAGACAAAACAAATTGATTTAGTCCACGGAGTACAAAAAAGCAATATTTGTTGTGCTTAAGCAATAAATGTTAAAATTTAAAGTGATTCTGGCAATTTATGATTACAATTGACTAGCATAATCATCTTTTCGTAATTAATTTCTATTGACTAAATACAGCAAACCATGTCTATATAAAACTGAATGTCCAATATACATTTTACCTTAAGCAGTACCTTGATTCACAGAATTTCGCAAAAACAAAGAAAAGTGTAAGCTCCTATATACCAAAGTATAGCATTTTAGGCCCAATATGGCGACCGGAACCAACGACCAATCAAAAACGAGATACCCGGTTGTCACGACTGTTCTAAATTGAATCACTGTAGTTTTTGGTAGACGGTTATTGTTACACATATAACATTACATCCACTTTTTTCATTTTATATTACACGATTAAAAAAAAATAGTTTATGAAAACAAGCATAAAAAGAGCAGATAATACATTTTTCGAATTTAGACATAATTTTAAATATTAAAGAAAATAAATGCATGCATATTTTAGTGTTTTCAAGTGCATACAAATGCAAAGCCTAGTTAGACAAACGGATTAGATAAATGTTTTGGTTTCAATCAATTGTTTTTGTAGTTATTTGGATAAAACAAGTTTAACAAGACTTATACAAACATGCTGTCGCAAGCCATTACAAAGATTCAGTATTGGAGGATCGGAAGATTTATCTCAACATATTCCGCAGTTTTTAGAAGTTTTAGGCAGCGCCCAGCCTGAGAAGGTTTTGCTTTTAGGATTGGCATCGGTTAAATATGATTCCAATTATTACCCGATTTGTGATGTTAGAGCCGAGTTATTTTTACCATTCATTAATCTAGAGGTAAGCAAATTGTGTGATTTTTATAAAAACAAATAGAAATAAATCGAATGTTGATAGATGCTAAGTATAGACTATGATATATTGGATGATGATCTACTAGACAATTTGGAGAACGCTGTTAATTTACAACGGTTGATTGTACACGTTCACGGAGTCTCAGATGATCACAAAGGAACAACGGAGGAGGCGTGGATAAGATTTAAATCTCGTCATGCTGACTGCCAACTTCGTATATCATTTATTCACGCATATGATGAACCAGCTATTTACATGCAAGATTGTATTTTAAAACGTAACATGCCTTTGAGCCACCTTAAAGTATTTTTTTGTGAACATGTAAGATATAATTGTTGATTCACTGCAGAATTTCTCAAAATCTATTTGCAGATTAATTTGGATGTTTTAAATGTTTTGTCCATGTGGTATCCTGCAACTTTACGGAGTATTGTGTGGGTCGATTCTCATAATCAAGATTCTCAGAGTTCATCTTGGTGTTTAGTAAGGCATAGTGATACTAATGGTGATGAACCAAATCCTCTTGTAATGGCAGCATGGCGATGTCCTCATTTGGAAGAAATTGTACTTCTAGGCAAGTAATTTTTCATGAACCTTTAAAGAGTCCAACAAGATCATTAGAAAATTTAAACAATATTAAATGTATAACCCACTTACACAATATTCTATGTTTTTAGGGTATAAATATTATGTAGAAGATCTTGTTGCAATTGCCAGACTAAGAGGTGATAAATTAAAAGTTCTTGAAGTAGCAGCAGAAGATGCTCTCTACTCTCACATGTATCTCAGTCCAGCTCCCATAGATGTAAGTATTTATTTTTTGTATATAGTAGCACACTTGCGAGAGGAGAAGAGGATAAGAAATTGTGGTGTGGGGTAGCAGAAACTTTCTTAAATAGTTTATTAATTTGCAATTCCGGTTTTTATGTTCTGGAGAATACCTCAGACACATTGATTAATATTTTCACTTGGAATTTTTTACATTAAAAAATTTTATGTACAGTGTCTAAAGTAGGAGGTATAACGGCGGTATTAAATTTTTTAATGAACACCCTGTATGTTGCAGCATCGATTGGTCGACTTTAAATATCCCTTGAAGTCAATGGACAACAGATTGTGCATGCACTGTAATAAGTAGGAAGTGCGTGTTTGTTTTGTCTTCTATTTTTCATTAGTTTAATGTTATTTTTTGAAAACTTTGAATCTAAATCAATAATTTATAAGTTTATTACACAGTCCCCTTTAATCGATTGTAGTAGAAAAAGATTTAATTAACAAACCAGTTTTATAATCTTCACACTCGCGCAAGTGGCTAAGACAAACCTTAATTAATCAACTAATTTTTAAATTACTTTTACTAACATCAATTTTCTTTTTTGTTACTTCAACGGCCACAAGAGTTCCAGTGTTTCCAAAAATGTAACTTATTTTAGGAAATCGCCAAAATAATCGGTAAACCGTGGACGCCTTTGAAGCTATCTGAACTTCATCCTGTGATTAGAAGCTCAGACGAAGGAGATTCGGACGAGTATGTCCTGCCAAAGGTCTTGGCAGACCTTGCATAAGCTAAGTAGTACGACATCTTAACCATCACCTACCCAAAAAGGTACAACTTTTTTTCCATTACGACAAATTAGTTACCACTACATGTAATTTATGATCGCCCTTTATCAGCGCAGTATAACTTCTAACAACAGAAACCATGTTTTTGTTATTTTATATTTTGAAACTTATTTCAAATATCGTTTTAATATGTATTTTTTTTATCTTAGCTTGTTAAGGTCCGAGTATTATTTTATTTTTAAAAATTTAGCGAGATCAATTTAATCAAAAATAATATCTATGAGACGTACACATTTTTATATCTTGAATAAATTTTAGAAGAGCATTGTGATATAAAGAAATAAACATTGGTGGTTTTTTGAACATCAGAAATCTGACAAAAAGCTTTAAAAGACATCGTGTTTTAAAGTTCTCTTAATTTCTGACAAAATTATATTACAACCAAAATTGTTGAGCTTTTTGTTACATTTGAATGACCACAATTTGTTTATTTTCTACTTAGTAATAATTAGAACTGAAAAACATCTGTGATAAAACTCGCTTCACCAACGTTTGCCGACAACTACCACGTCGGTAAAATGACCAAAAGTACCTGTGTGAATAATGTTAATGAACGATATGCGATATGCATAGTTGGGAAAATCGGGTGATAAAAATGTTTTAACAATCAATAACAAACATTAGCGAGTTATAAAAATGCTTTACAGTTTTGTGTGGAGCTTTTTATTTATATATTATGTACATAAGTTGTGATACGTTCCATTTTTATTAACAACTGTATAATATGTATATTGATTTTGTCATTTTGTTACATTTAGTTTTTATTTTCGAAAAATGCATAATTATTTATGCTTCACTCAAATTGTATAAACCGTCAAAAATAAATATGCATTTTTATTCTTTTGCACAGATTACATTGTTAATCTGATATGAGACGTAATCGAGAACATCGACGAATAAGTATTATACATCTTTTTATAGAGTTCCTATTTGCACCATTGACCAAAAACTGTAAGGTTTTAAGAATGAATTTTTTCTGTTTGTACCATTCCTGACACTAATGATGTTAATGTCAACAGTAAAAAATCTGACCAAATTTACATAATTATTTCGAATTCATGTAAATTTTTTGAAATTTAATATTATATTGTTAAATACTTAGAGTCTATATATAATATAATGTAAATGTTTGGTTGTGTTTCTTTTGCGAAATTTAAATGGTTATCATGAAAGCATATATTAGAAATTTAATAAAATGTACTACTTCTAGATGGCGCTGGTTAGGTCGATTATTGCCCAAATCTGATTATGGCAATAGTTCAACGAATTACTTAACCATAAAAGCGGTGACACAACATTCCTCTTTACTGTCTAAACGTTTCGATTTTATCCTTATTACACTCATTGTTAACAAATTTGGGCAATAAGCACCAGAGCAGCCGAAGTACTTACAAACGTGCATTGAAAGCGCATGCTTTCGAATGTTAATTTGTATAGTTGGAAAGTTTTTTTGTAGGCAAAAGTAGCACAACTGGTTTAACAAGCATTGGAGATTTTTAAATACGAGATTTTTTCTAGCTTATCGACAAAAAATATGACAATGTAAATAAGAACAGATAAGACCATGTACCTGAAAAGAGTGATTTTAGAAACTTAGCCTGCTATTGTAACCAAAACCCTAGTCCAGCATGTTGAATGATTAAATATCGAATTAAAATCCAAATATAAATAGATAACGTGATAAAACGTGTGTGTGAGTATGTAGAAAAATATAATATATTGCGAGTGCACATTGCAAAAAAACAAAAAAGAATGTCGATACCTTGTGTGAGTAGATAGAGAGCTTCCATTGCAATGTGCATAGTTTTGCAAATAAGAGTATTAAGGTTCTGTTTCCATCATGAGTATCATGATTATATCTGTGATGTACACACGGACACATTCGTAACAGCGTACATATGTTAAACAACGCTTAAATGTTACAATGTAAGTCTGGCTATTACCCTAACTAAAGGGGTTCCCTATAAAAGCAACTGAAACAACAACGCTCACATCTTCTCTAAATACATCAGAAGAATTGAGCTTGTCGATTATAAGTAAAATTCAGTAAGGAAAGGTGGTTTAAACGAAACGGCGTGTATCGATAAAAAATTGGAATTTTTTATTGGCACCCTCCGTAAGCCACAAGTGATTGTTTTATGCTGATTACGATCGATTGAAAGACAATAACAATAATGATCAGCATTTTTTTTTGGTGATGGATTAATTTTCAAACATGTTCGCCTTATACTTAAAAGTAAAGCAATAAGTCCAAAATCAGAACATGTTTCAACAATCTTTTTACTATAAACTACGAATGCAAAGAGCAGAACTTCTTCTACCGATTTACAAATTTTATCGTCTATATCATAATCATAAATCGTTTTAAGTGTTTTTTCTTGTATTTGCATAAAATGATAACGATGTTTAAAATAGTTGTTAACCTTAAAATTTGTTTAATGTCAACTATTTACTGTTCATTATCTTAAATAAGGCAATGTTTGGTGTCACATTGTTAAAATGTAGTGTGTACAATTCGACTCACTAACATCGGCAACATGGACACTGTATAGTCCGACATTCTCTTATTTTGGCTTTTGAGCATCACGAAACAGTATTTTAATAGATTTTACACAATATCTGGAAGTAATAAATTGAGTTACTTTTGTAAGCTATAGATTACCTCCCTTTTTACCTCATTATAAGTCTAATTTGTCTACACTTGATTTAAAGATTAAAAGACGTTGGTGAAGGTAATTATTTGCTTGACACAAAAGAAGCATTTATTTCTAGTTTTTAAAAAAATGCTTAATTAAATGTAGATCAATTTTTGGGTACTTGCACATGTTTCTCTTTGATAAATTTTAAAAAATTGATGTACACCAATATTCATTTTTGTTTTATTTTCTATGTAGAATGTAGTGAAAATTGGAAAAAAATATTCAATCTCTATGTATTGTAACGTTTGTAAAAGTTGCAAAAAAACTTTTGCAAACAGCAAAAAAAAGTTCATGTTTAATAATATATAAAGTAAAACTAAATATTTCTATTTAATCTGTTTAAAAATAAATTGTTTATTTGTTCTAACTTTTAAGTATTGATTATATATTTTCATAAACTTCTATTTTCGTATAACACTTTTTTTTGTTATTTGTGTTAGGTTCATTCTACTTTCTGGTAGAACATTGTTTAATAAATTTATTATGTAATTCTGGAAGTTTTATTTTTCCTGTACAGATTCGTTGTTATAACTAGTTGCAATTTTCAAAACCACCGCATTTATAACTAAAACGTCTAGGTGCCCCAATACTTGATTTGAAATTGTAAGACTGCTTTTACAGGGCGATACTGTATGGGGGATACAGTCTGCTGTTAGAATTTATGTCAAATACACTTCGCAGACTTTAGGCTATTTCTAAACTTCTCTTTTGCAATACTTTTTCAATAACAATACCAATTTTCGGTGATGCAGTGGCAGGCTAATGAAAGTCTCTTCAACTTAAATTGGAAGAACCAATCACATGCGTAGCTGTATGAGACAGCTTGCCCTTTTAATTTTCACTTCTCTCTCGCCTACAGTATATGCGCGCCATTTATTATAATGTCGATACCCTGGACCCATGCGACATTTTCAAAAATAGCTATGAAGAGCGGATTGTCAGTTTGCTCTTAGCCTAAGTTTATAATCTAAGACGAACTCCCATTGTTTTATGCCACAGATTGTACGCAGAGTGTGATCTTCTATAACCTTTTTGTTAGTGTGGTATTTTCTAATGCGTTTGAATACAATAAGTACAGCCACAGATTTGTGGGTACAGCTTTGAGGGGCACTGTGCAACACCAGCCCACAAGTAATTTTGCAGTGACTTAAGTGCAGTCAATAACAATTTTTCTAGCAGCTCGTATTATTCTTATCAATTTGGCTTGAAATACAGTAGAGAACTTGATTACTGTACTGTACATCCAATCATTACTTCAACATTGACAGCAGCCGTCCTTTATGCCCCTAGCCACTAGTTCTTTTTGAGTTGCAAAGTTATTCAGGTGATATATCAAAAATAAAATAAAAACTATTGTCAAAGAGTAAATTCTTTGATATTGCTACGGAGGTAGGTATGTACATACAGCGGGCGATATCGCGTGATTGGGGGCCTTATTTATCGCCTCCCTTTAGATTTCAAGAACTTGTTCACATGTATGACCTCCGGTATGAACCCTTCCTTAGAGCATAATCATACCCATGGAGTTTTGGTCCACAGCTAAAACATGGGTTATTTGAGCGTTGAGGTTGGACGCCACATCCGGTACATCGCCTGGTGAAATTGTCAGAAGGCTCCGATTTCACCATTTCAGTAGTAACTCCAAAAGCTGGCGGACGTTGGAAAACAATGTGTTCTCAAGGACTTTCTAGTGAAAAGCAATCATCTTTCTTGCAGAGTTAATCGACGGGGGACTGCATTAGACTGTGTTGTATCATAAACGCGCCTGTTTGAGTTATTGAACAGTTTGCTCCTATCGTGCAAGGTTATTATCATTGCGTATCGTGCACTGTGCTCCACCATATATGTTAGGGTTTCTTATGAAGACCTTTGAGCAAGGAGCATGCTTGTTCACAAGATTTCAGGAGGCAAGGGGCTGCATCAGAACAAGAAAAAAAAGCAAAATAACAATTTCAAACAAAAGAATAAACTATATTACCATTGTTTATTCACTTATAATTGCACAAGAGGTTTGTATTTTACCGAGTAAATTTGGGTTGTTAAGGTAATGAAAATTTGTTGCCTAGCAATTAGACGAGAAAAACTGTCAACTAATAAAAATGCGACACCGAAGGTGGAGCATTTTTAGGTTGACAGTTTTTCGAGTTCAATTGCTAAAAGGAAACAGATTTGAATTGCAGCAACCCAAATGTACTCGGTTTAAATGCAAACCTCGAGTACGAGTGTAATTCGGCAGGACAATTTAACGAACAAGAAATTCACCAAACTAGTCAATTATTGACAGACGTCAAACTAGTCATATGGGAAAGGATAATGCGATAATTGGTGTGAAAATGAATAAGTGAAAAAACCACTAGTGCATTTGTCGCTGGAAAAGTTGCAGGTAACTTTTGCCGCTGTCAAAGTGACAATTGCACTGCGGCTTATGCGATTTTTTATACATGAGTTGAATTGTCATTTAAATAAATAAAGATATTACCAATGAACCAACGGAAGCAACAAGCACCTCAACCTACTTTAAACTGTTCCAGTTTTCCGCGAGTGCAGTTTAGTAGGTAGTAGTAGTTGAAAATACGTCCACAGAAAGCCCGCGAGGAGTGTAAAAAAGGGTGAATGTATAAACTTCGGGTTTTTAGCGTATTTCGATCAAATTTTGCAATTGGCCGCGTTCTGTCGGTCCTTTCATCAGTGTTTTATTGTAAAGGCACGTTCTTGGACTGCTGCAGAGATGAGATAGATGTCAAACTGCAGCTCTCTATTTATCGTGAGCAAGACGGGCGTTTAATCATTAGTGAGCAAAGCCTGCAAAGTTTGTTTATTGGTTACTGTGTCTGCGGTTGCTATGAAAATGAATGTAAGATAATCATAGTAGGTATTAGACGTTTCGCAAACGTCAAATTTATTTTACCCAAAATCATCCTGAAACCTTCATTTCCATGCCTACTTTCTGTCAGGAAATGTTATTTTCCATGACAGAGGCAGGCAGACCAGACGACTTTTTCTGCCGCCTGTCACTTTATCGGGTGCATCTGACACTTTACCGGCCGCACTTGTCATTTTTCCGGCCGCACCTGTCAATTACTATGTCTATAATGACTCCTGTCATCACTGCGCGCAGTTTAACATTAATCAAAAGAACTTACATAAAAATTGAATATTTTATACTCGTTAATACGAGTATAAAATATCTTAATAGATACGATTTCGGAGAAAATTTGATACAAAACTTGTCAGTAAAATGACATTAGGTACATGACTCGGAAATTAAAGTACTCGTACTTCAATAATTCCTCGCAGGATTGAAAATGACACATTACCGGCGAGGAATTATTGAAGTACGAGTACTTTGATTTCCGAGTCATGTAATGTCATTTTATTGACGAGTTTTGTATTAAATTTTACCCGAAATCGTATTTTAATATAACATTTTAATTAGTATATAAAACTTTTGATTAATGTCAATCTGTCTGATGACAGGAGTCATTATAGACATTAGAAATGTCACAAATGCGGCCGCTAAAGTGACAGGTGCGGCCAGTAAAGTGACAACCGGCAGGTGCGTAGTCTGCTCTGCCTCTGTCATGGAAACTCAAATTTCCTGACAGAAAGTAGGCATGAAAATGAGGGTTTCAGGACGATATTGGGTAAATAACTATTACTTAAATAATGAATATGATTGTGGAAAAGATTCTGTTTAGCACTCTTGAGCAGCCGCGGTTTGTACTCTCTCGCTCTAGGTGGGTGTTCGAATCTAGAGCTCAAGAGTAATAGTGCCTTTGCTGACTTGTAACGGGCGATCAAAAATGAGTTGCTGTCGAGTCGCCTTTGGAAGTTCAAGTTAAATACGATTTTCCATGTAAACAAAAATTTCAAAGGCGACTCGACAGCAACTCATTTTTGATCGCATAGTAGGTACTAATGTAAAGGAAGCATTTAACAATTAACTAATAGTTTTCAGAAGGGGCAAGACCATGTTGTAGGTGGGGCTGAACTCCGCCTGGCCACCCCTGGCTCCGGACCTGCTATTTCCCTTTACCCGGTTAAGGGCTTAACCATAGCAAGCAGAGTACGTTTACACGGACACCTAACACCGGTTTTATAACTACGGATGTTTCTAAAACCGACGTTAAATCGCGTGTAAACAATGTGGTACAACCGATGTTATAAATCCGGTTTCTTAACGCTACACCTCTTTATAATCGGGCGTGACGTTATAACATCGGTTTTAGGAACGCGTGTAAACAGCATAAGCGGATGTAAGTACAACCAAGCCAATTAAATTTCCCTAGAAGTTAAAATAAATGGCGGCAGCTGCCTTAACCTAAAAGATGCAAATTCCTGCATTTGCACAAACTGATAAACAAGTAAGAAATCCCGCTAATTATCTATTGTTTGAATAGGTTTGGATCAAGTTACTTTCCCTTTTTGTGTGTTATTTGCTGCGTTACTCATTTCTTCTCTGATGGGTGTCCAGAGCGTTTTACCTCTTTCATAAAGTAGTTTTCTAATTAAATTTTGTTGTTTATAGTGGTGTAGTTTGTAGTTTATAGATATTTTAGAATACGTAGATTTTTATTTTTTAATTAAAATGTGTAGTGCTGCAAAACGTGATACGTGGGAAGTAGAGGAAACACGGTTCCTTTTGAGACTAATCCGCGAAAAGCAAGTGTTGAAATCGTTGGATGGAAAGAGATTTCGAGCAGTCGACATCTTTCAACATCTAGAAGAACCGATGCATGAGAGAGGATATTTGAAGAATGCCAAACAAATGCAAACCCGTTTTAAAACATTACGATGTAAGTCTACCTAACTTTAATTCAATAAGAGATTTAATTTTATATCTTTTAGTTCAATACAATAAGTGTAAACGGCAATTGAGTACAAGTGGTGCACAAAACTGTCGATCGGACTTTCCCTTCTATGAAGAAATGAACGTTCTCCTAGGCGATAGGCCAGTTTCACAACTGCAAGGTGTCGATTCTGCACAATGTTCGTCCAAGGAATCAAATTCAGAATCGGACCAATACGCAGAGGACGATTATGAAAATACAGATGTCGACACAACATTAACTCAAGAACAAGATGATTTACAAGAGAATACCCCCGATCACGCTGCTGAGGAGTACAATGCGACCCAGGAGTCTGATGAACCAGTGCCAAAAAGAAGACGTTACTCTGAGAAAGGAGGACGACGATCGTACCAACAAAACATAGAAAATTATGCTAGAATTTCAAAGCAAAATTCTCTTGAAGTGCAGGAACGGCAAATCGAGAGTGTTTCACAACTATTTCTACAGCAAAGGGAATATGAAAAGGAAATGATGAATAACTTTATGGAACAACATAAAGAGATCATGCAGCAAACAACGAATGCCATAATTAGTTGTTTAAATAATGTTTTCCATGTTCATGAATTGAATAGACCATCTACTTCTCGTTCTGAACCTAGCCGGCCGAGGGAACATGTCAAGGGATGTTTGTGTGTACAATGTATTAATGTGGAATAAGGACTTTATTTTTTCTACAGTAAATTTTTATAAAATACTTTGTAACAATTTACAATACATTGTCTACTTATACCAAGTCTTTCTTAACGGAAAATTGGACGCGAGATAATTTTTAATAGTGTCTCTAATGGTGTGACCGCTAAAATGCTCACGTTCTCTGCTTGTATTTATCCGTGGTTGTGGAAATATCACTTCTGCTTCCATAACTGCTTTTTCCCACTGCACCACATAAGCCTCTTTTCTGCTTTCAACTATATTATGTAAAATGCAGCATGCAGATACAATCTGGGGTACAAATGAGTAGTGAATATCAAGGCGTTTTAAAAGACACCTCCAGCGTGCTTTTAATCTCCCAAACGCAATCTCCACGGACACTCTTCCCGCATTTAAATAAACATTAAATGACTCTTCTTCGGGGGTGAGTCGTGCAGATTTTGTGTACCCCTTTAAGAGCCAAGGTAGCAGTGGGTAGGCTGGGTCCCCCATGATCATGAAAGGAACATTTACTCCATTTATATCAATACATTTCTGAAACAAATTGGTAATAATAACTCATGCACAACATAAATAGGTACCTTTGGAATAAGTTGTTCTTGCTGTTTAAATAAAACAGACTGTTGAAAAACTGCTGCGTCATGCGACGAACCAGGCGATTTGCAATTGATATTCCGAAATCTATAATGAACACACATAGTTAACAATCAATTATTACTAGTGGCAGTATAAGAACCTGTATGAATGATCAACCACTGCTTGCAGGATCATCGACGGCCACCCCTTTCTATTAACAAAATCTCGATAACCATCGGCGGGTGGCAAAATAGGGATGTGAGTCCCATCTATCGCTCCAATTAAATTTGGAATATGTGTTGTCTTCTCATATTGAAAAGATATGTCATCACATTCAACACTGTTAGGCATATTTACACAAGAATCCATCAACACACTATTAATAGTGTTTACAACTCTATGTACACATTTCCACACAGTTGATTTGTGGACTCCAAAAGCATTTGCCACAACCCGATACTCCGCACAGCTTCCCAAAAAATACAATGTTATTGCAACCTGCTTTTCTACTGACACGGGCTCTCTAGTTTTCACATAGTTTTCACAGGGCAGCAAACGATTTCTTAACTGGTCGCACAACCATAAAAAACTGCTTTTGGACATTCGAAAATTTTCGTTCCAATCACAGTCACTGAAGTGTTTTAAAAGGATTCTCTCCCACCACTCACTACTTCTCTTCTTCATCCACATGGTTTTGCGATTACATTGCAAAACCGGTCCTAAGTTTAATGTTTCGCTTGGTGTTGTTCCAATTAGATACAGTAACAACATTTGGGTAAAGCGTTTTCGACATTTTACAATGTTGTTAATGAAAAAGTTGCATAACTGTTCGTTAATGGAAGTATACAACTGCCATAGAGTGGGAAAAACACTGGCAATTATTACTTCATTCATTTCGCGGCACAAGATCAAAAACGAAGTTACAACAGAAAACAAATTAATTAACCTCACTTCTCCTAATTAAATAATAGACGTGAAGTTGGCTGTTCTTATTTATGTTGGTAGCTATGGACGTTACTGTTCGGACTTCAGTTGAATGTTATTACACCCAACCACAGAACGTACGTTATAACTCCTGTTCTGTGTAAACACGTATCATAAAACCGGATTAGTAAAATCCGTAGTTATAAAACCGGCGTTAGGTGTCCGTGTAAACGTACTCA